ATCGTGAGAAGCTGCCAGTAACGTTGAAGATGATCGTAAGTGAAGCTCGGATATAGTAAGTGTGCCCGAGCCCCACGCTTCGATAGATGTGATGAGACCCTTGTATTCGAGGAAACATAAGTACACACAGTACCTAGTACGTATAGAAATCAGGAATAGAAATAGCAATTTGACAATATGGAAAATCTTTGAGCAGAGGAATGATCAAGGGTACCACGCGGACAGAAATCACCAGGCGCTTGCGACTGGTTGGCAATAACATCTCGTGCATGACAAGGTAAGGTAAACGATCTAGCCACTTGGCGTAGATGTGATTCCTAACGGGATGGTTCTATTCTGGAAGGCAAATTTTTGGCACTATGCCTGTCTATGATGCTGTGTACGCTTAGCAAGCACCCTAGAGTCTCACGACAGTTCGTCGAGATCAGAGTGTTCTCCTGAAGATTATGACATGGCGGTGGATGCTTTAGGTTGGCTTCCACATTGAAAGAAAAGCATAATAGCAGCCATTCCCGGATTCTCGTGCCAATCCCTGGCTATTGAACAGAGATCTGCAATAATGGAGCCACAGATCGTGCGGTATATTGTCCGAAAGCTTTTGTAAATGCTCTAGGCGTTGCTGATACTCATTTCTCATTTCTAAACCGTATCATAGCGCGTATCCAGAAAGGAGATAATCACCTGCCTTTTCTGAAAAACCAAATGCGGTAGGCACGGTATATTACCATCTTATTAAGTTGTCGTCTGTAAGCCTAATCACAGCTGTCAGGTACAATAATTCTTGCATGTCGTGATTCGGATGTGGGGAGGTCTTAATACATGCATGCAACCCGCCTACGGTTACCAACAGCCGTTTGCGCAGCTAAAAAAAGAAAACAGAACATATGAGCCAAGCCAATGTGTCTTGGCCGAGGTTGACCGAAACTGTCGACCAACGAGCTTCATTGGCTTCGCAAAAGTCGCCTAGTCGATAGCTCTAGAAAAAGGAGGGCAACACCCCTGAGTCGCACCGGGACAAGTTGTATATCAGTGCCCACCCGGAGCGGAGGTGGAGCTACGTATACCTACACTAGTACTTAGTAATGCTACGAAGCCAACCACACCTGTTATGTAGACGGGGCTCTCACCTTTGAACAGCATTTGTACAAACCATGCATGGTTGCATTGGCATCACGGCCGCAGGGCCGTCAACTGCATGGGCGGTTTGCTTGCCGTAATTTGGTAAAGTTGCGGTTGGATTGCCACCTGCTTCCTAGGCAAAGATATCATGAATAGAAATTCGAGGTTCAATGGAGCCCCCTGGGAAGGTCGAGCTCTCTGTCAGTTCTGTCCATGCGATGACGGACAAGATCCCTGCAAGTAAGAGTGAAAAACCGGCACTTGCATGAAATTAAATGGAGCTTCCAACGGGTAGCGATGGCAAGCTAACAGGCTTGTACCGCCATGGAAACTCCGGACGGGTCACCCTATCCGGATCGCCTCTTGAAGTAATGATTCCCACGTGTTTCATTAGGTCACAGAGCAACATATCGTAGGTAGTCGATACGTATTGGATATCCGCGGGATAAAGCGAACCGAGAGTGCCAAGTAGATTAAAAACTTCTGTATTGTTAATGAGGACAGTGACAGACCGGCCCTATTGTGTGCTGAATGACGCAAAAGAAGGCCGGATTTCAGCATGGTTAGTCCCGGTGGGTTCAATTATCGTCGCCAATATCGATGGGGTCTTGGTACGATACTCGGTATACTTGGCATACAGTATGCGTAATGGTGACTTAGTATGCAGTAGGTAGTGGGCGCCAAAATCTGACCAACGAGTTCTGCAAGTTATGTAGCTTCTTTCAACTTCCAGTGCCGGCCCATATTATGATGACAACAGCCAAGACACCACTACCGTCACGTGTAGAGCGCGCTTGGCGCATTTTACATAGTAGTTTAATTCCCGAGATGGAACGTGATATAATGTGAGGTGTTCGCGAGCCATAAACGCATTTGAAAGTAATGTGGTTACTATGAAAAAAGATTTGGAAGAAGCAACTGATATCTGGACATTTGGAATCATTAAATTACCTAATAAGGTTTTTGATAGAGGAAAAACGACGGAGCGCCCTACCCATCACATGTCGTGCCGTTCCCGAGGTTGTCGTGTGGCACAGCACCTATGTAAAATCAACCTTTAGAACTTAAACCTAGGAACCAATCTTGAAATTCAGAGCCCGAACAATAACTACCATCCCCATTTACAACATGCCATGAAGATGGTTTCTACGCTACGAAAAATTCAGAATCCTGATTTCTAAGTAAGCTGCGCCCGGGATCTTTTGTTAGGCCATAGAAGCCTATCGCGCTCTGAGCCTAGAGGATGAAATCCCCAGGGGACAAACAGACTAGGGCACGAATCCAAAGCTGCAATCTGCACGTGGACATATCGTGAATGTATCGCATATGGCCTTGCCTCTCTCATTTAACTATTTTACTATGAATTGATGACCTTCGAGGGCATCAAACCCTTCATCATTAAGGACTTCCTTCTCGATCCCCGAATGCAACTTGGACTATGGCCAGTCTTAATAGTGGAAAACTCAGAGTCATGAACAGTCATGACTCTAAACTCTCACTTTTTCTACGCCTACGTTAGATGGACTTAGTTTTTGAAGCAGGCCGCGGTCGATGCCCGCTACATTGCTTGGACGCCGATGAATTCGCACAACGGCGCCGATAGATCATGCCATCAACTTTGGATGAGGTCAATGCCTCTCTGCGTCTATCCTGTAAAGGGTTAGTGTCAAGATTTACCTACCTAATTTATTCTAGGCCTCTATCGTCCCCGGCTTTAACCCCGGCTCCCGGGCTACACCATGCTAGGTAACTCCAACCCCAAATCCCTACGTAGCTCATTATGGGGTTGATCTTGTAATTACCTACCTACTAATAACAGTTACCGTGTATCGCCGGAGTATCTGCGATCGTTAGCTTATTCGCAAGTATCCTATCATCATCATGATTTTGGTCATTCTCAGATCCTAAGTATCCGCGAAGGAGATTGTCAAGGACTGTCTAACTTCGAAACCACGCACACGCTGCTTTCCTACCATCCCGCGTACCACGCTTCTCCTCTGAAAGGATCTTGTTACGAGCTGCAGCCAGCTTACGCGGGGGCGGAGTTGCCTAGTTAGGGGTTTATTTGATTAAACACACTGTTGCGAAGAATCCACCGCCATGGTTCAGGTACTCGAATATTTTAATGTTTACTTGAGCAAAAAAGATGCTACTTCGATGGTAGACCGGTGTTTTCATGGCCAATACTCCGGGCCCAGCTTCTACTTCACTCTCTGAAATGACATCTTGTGTCCACTAGAGTGTGTCGAACCGTCAAAATAATTAGCTTTCTCGTAGCGTGAGAATATTTACTTGAACATGTAGGGTTATCATGGCTACCGCAACATTGTGTCCTTCTCCTTGTTAGTGCATACTGTTATTTCGGTCTTGCCACTTCATTAACATATAGATATATTCGAAGAAGATAAGGGTAGGGGGTAACCACAGAGATAATGTCACTCTAACGACGACGTTGATATGCCCACGGAGGGAGGCTCTCGCTCCAAAGTCGTGGGTTTAATGGTGCTTGCATAAGGCTTATTTATCCGGCCCTGCTCATTGGAACCGGTGAACCGGGCCGCTGCACAACTCCCGGGCTTGTGGTCTCTGGTTGGAAGAATTCCAAATACCCAGCTGCATCGAGAGTTTTTTAATATAAGGGTTTGGTACCCTTCCCGAATAAACTAATTATTAAACGGACCGAGCCCGTTCCACGAACTTGCTTCTGTAACACGACCCCCTATTCTTCAACACCGCTTCTGACTATATGCTTAAAAATCCCAGCGTCATGATGACAATTGCCCCTTACACGAACATCCTGGTAGATACCTGACGACAGCTTTTCTGTTGGTACAATGGTGATCTGGAAGGCTTGGGTATGGAAGACTCGAAAACCATCGTTTCATAGCCCACCAGTTCCGGTGGACTACCTGGAATCGAGCGACATTATCCGAGATAGCTACAGTGTCAAATTTTGACTGAGCATTTCCCAACAAATTTGCCATGCTGCTGCACGATGTGCTGAGGCATCGAAACGAGTCTCTTCGGAACACAATCAAATGTGGATGCAACTATCTTGCTACTAGATAATCAATCATCTACGTCACAATACAACTGCTAGGTTACAGTCTCGAGATAATACCGTCGTTTCTAGAATTCCCTTGTCAGAATCGCTGAGTCAGGAGTAGCTGGCCGTGAGCTACTGTGCCTCCATCAAACATCCGGCCATAGTTCCGAGAGCTACTTCGTACGTGAAACTAAGCTTGAGTTCCTTAGGAGTTGCGGTGAAGCAAATAATACCTACATCTCTCTTCAAAAACCATTGCGTGCTGTACTCCTACTCTTCTAAGGATTTGAGTCACGAATGACGGAGTGTTATTGTGGTCCCAAGGCATCCGAATTCGCCGAAATGTCAGTGCTTTACATACAAAGGACTTCGCTCAGTCAGAAATAGCACGACATCACACATGTAAGCTTTACCATACGAGCCGGGTTTACGCTCCGGATGAGTCTGTTCTCAGGTATTCTTACGGTGTCCAGCTCTTCGATTAGAGGAAAAGGGGATTTGGTGGGTATCAAGCTACCAGCAATTAACAAATCAGCACACAGTACTTGTCACGCTCAAGTCTACTCTTCTAGCATCCTGGACGGTAATTGACTTGTACTCTTATTGATACGTCGTGTCATTTCACCTCTGAAACCGACCACCGAGTCTCCTTCGTGGGATTAACTCCGAGCTCAAACCAAAAAAAAAAAACACTCGTAGAGCTCAGGGGAGGGTAATTCTGCGCACATTTTATTATGGCCATGCGCGCACCACGACCTTGTGTTGGACTTAATTAAAAATGACAAAGCATGAGAGGAAGACCAAACAAGAAGACAAAGTATCTAAAGAAATAAAATGCATCAGCCGCGAATCGAACGCGGGTCTATCGATGGCAACAATGTGTTTTACCACTAAACTACCTACTGGTGCTATAAGGTAGAAGACGTTAGAATCTAGTTGTGGGAATTGGTACTCTTATTAATATATGTAATAAAACATCGCTGTTAGCTCTAAGTACCTCTGTAGCTTTATTAATCTGCATTTGTTTGATCTTTAGACTTAGGTGCCTATACCTATTATCATTAGGACGAGGGTGCAAGCCAGCATTCAAGTTTGAACTCGACGAAAAACCAATGCATGGTGTGTTTGTAAACACAAAAGCAAATACAGAAAGGGGGTAATATTTAAGCCCCTAAAGCTTAGAATATTAACCCCTAAGACCCTATCACAAGTCCAACTAGATCCTCCGGCTCATCGAAGAAATCTAGCACCACGACACCTAACCTACTCCCCTGCATACCACTCAGCACCTTAGCGAGCTCATGGTTCACGCCGCCGTCAGGCGTAACCTCAGACCCGTTCCCGAGCGCCATCGTCTGCGGGAACACCGGCGGATCGTTCGCGTTGTGCTCGCCCGACGCGAACGTGATGAACAAGCTATCACCCCCCACCCACACTCATCAGCAGTAGCATTCGCAGCTTTGTGCAAGTGCGTCCGCACGGCGTCCATCTTGGCCTGGACGTTCTCCGCAACCGTCGAGTTCGCCGCCAGGTCCGCGGGTTCGTAGTAGTCCTCGACGAACGCCGTGGCGTTGGTAGTCTCGTTGTACACCAGCGCGAACCCACTCTTCTCGTTATCCGGCCACTGCGCCGGACTCAGATGCAGTCCCGGCAGCACGTCCTCGTACTGCTCGTCCACGTCAAACCGCCGCAACAGCACGATCTTCCCGCGGCTCTCCCCCAGCGTCCCCAGCGTTCCGCGGTCCTGCCTCACATACGCGCGCGCCGCCTCCCCGGTCAGCGCCCGGACCAGCGCCCGCTGCGCCTTGTCGTCGAAGCTCGCGCCCTCCTTCGTGCCGCCCTCGTATTGGAAGCTCAGCAGCACGGCCTCGGAGGGGTGGCGCGCCAGCCAGTCGTAGTACGCGAACAGCACGTCTTCGACAGCCGCCGTGACCGACAGGAGCGCGGGGCCGTGCCAGAAGACGAGCTGCGCGTCCGCCGGGTCGAAGGCGAACCGCAGGTCGAAGAACCGGATGCCGGCGTCCAGGGCGGCGGCCGCGCTGCGCCGCTGCGTGCGGTACGTCTGCGGGGGGAGCGGCGTGACGCCGTCGCAGCGCGTCGCGTAGGCTAGCGAGTCCTGCACGGCAGCTGTGTAGTTCCACGTCGCGGCGTCGTGGGCGCCGGGGATGTTCAGATGCGCGAGAGGCGTGGAGTCCGGGATGGTGGACATCCAGTTGGCGTAGGGTAAAGGATTCCCGTCACCGTTGCTGAAAGAGGATTCGCTAGCATCGCCGAAGACTTCCGCGCTGGCTTGTAGGACCTTCTGCAGCGCAAATTGGTTCAGGTCCGCAGCGACTACTGCCGCGCAGCCCAGGAACATGAGTAGACCACGCATGATGAAATGTGACTATCTCATGCTAAATCAATAATTACCGTCGAGGATTGCCACTGGCCTGTTGCCGTACCTAATAAAGACGAGTTTTTAAACTCAAGTCTCCCGTCTTAAGTCTAAATTAACATCTCACCTTACCGTTTAAATAGGCTTAAGGTCGCCTTATTAAGAACACAAAACCGAAATAACACTAAGCCTGCGGCTGAGTTTTCAGCGACGATCAGGTTCGTATTCAATCCAAGCTTGGTTCGTGAATGGTTCCTTAAGTTCTGAGCACCCACGCGTTGTCAGGCACCCCTGTGATTGGTGGCGTCAGCACGATGTTACGTGTAAACATTCTCCATTATCACGGCTTAGCGAGGACGCAAAACAGTAGCAAGGCTGAGAAATGGGTTTCGAAATGGTAGAGGCGTGTCTCCATGTGTCTATTTACTGGTTGATGCTAGATAAATATTATACGATAATATGCGAGGCTAACGAGACAACGATACCTATGACAGTCCAGCCTAGACACCTAATCAATATATCACTTGGTTCGGGTTGTTATTAGTCTGCGGTCCACGTACACTTGATCGGGGCCTAGCGAGTTCTCATTGGTTAATATATCCCGTCGAGTCAAAGGAATGTTACTTAGCACATGTATCAACTTACTAGGTACCTAGTCTTGGTATTGATATATTATGTTGAACCTCTCCGGGGCGTTGAGCCTCATTTCCACAAAGGTCACTTAATATGTCCGTATGGAATCTAGGTACTTTCCCGGACAATTGCTTTTAGACTTAATTAGACGATCTCGAGACCACCTAGGTTGAGTACCTACTGACGCCGTATGTCCTTAGAAGTTGCCTATACACTCATCTCAGGCCAACCTAAACTGCAGGATAGCGTGCTGCACTCTCCTGACACTGTGGCCTCCATCGGCTATTTTCTCGAATCTCCGCCTGTCGAACCATGCCCGCAGGTGCTGCTTTCGCAACAAAATATACCATCCTAGGCCATTAAAAACCACCACCTGAAGTTAAACGCCAGAAGCCGGGCTTCATTTCGGCTTCGTAATCTCGAAGAATTCCTTCACACCCTGCACGACAACCTCGACATTCATGTTGACTAGTGGCATCTTGTCATAACTGTCTTCCTTCATAATCGCAACCAGCGCAAGGTACTTGTCGACTTCGCGTAGTATTATAGGCTTGTTCCCGTCGCTCAGCACCATACAACTCTCGGCAGAGATCGAGGCCACCTGGTCCTCTATCTTCTGGTTCCAAGGCGCTCCCTCCAGACCCTCGCGATACTTCTGAGACCTGGGCCAGTTACCGTAGACATCAGTAACATCTATTATGACGTCGATGTAGTCGGAGCAGATCTCATAGCTTGCCATGTCTGCGGGTTCGCTATCGGTGGCAATGTATATCTTAGATAAGACGTCAAAGAGGTAGGCTTTTTCGAAGCGACAGGTACGGCAAAGGTTGGTCAACATCGCCTCGAGTATACCAAGTCGAGGGATGAGCTTCTGAATCACCTTGCTGAACGCTTCAAAGATGCTGTGGTTGTAGATACTGGTAAGGTGGAAAGTGACGGGGGCATTCTCGAAACCGTGATCCGAGAGCTCGTCTTGAATTCGTATGGTGATATCTCGTTGAATATCTAATTTGTAGTCGTCTGATAAACCGTCTACCTTGTGAATGAACACTTCGATTTTCACGTTTGGGAATGTTCGCTGGAGGTTCAGTATGGTCACGTTCAAGCGTGCTACAGCCTCTAGGTAATCATCTTGAGCATCGATGACCCAAATAAGGGCACCGATCTCACCAAACATGGCATCGATATCGAATGTCGGGTTATCAAACACATCGATCTGACCAGGAAAGTCCCACACCTGGAAATCCATAAAAGAGCTACAGAGCGAAGTTAGAAACCATACCTACGATATAGTAAGGATAAAGAGCTTACGGCATAGTGTCTTTTTGGATGCGTGCGGTGGACTCGAGAAATAAGGTCTCGCTAGGCGGTAGTTTATGAAAAACCACGCTCGCTATCGAGGACTTGCCACTCCTGCAATGATATTAGACCAACTATCAAGCACATAAATCTGGACGACGTACCTTCTCTGTCCCATTAGAAGCAACCTAGGCTTCCCTTTCGTTGGTAGGTCAGGAGCTTGCTCAGACGCCCTCTGTCCATTTTGGCGTTGTCGTTGATCCTGTTCATATAAAACTGTTAGAGCCTGCTGAGCGGGACTGGCGGGACCAAATTGCGCCTCGTAGGGCTCTCCTTGGGTATCCTCCGAATCGAAAATATCTACGCCGCGAAGCCGAGAAGACATAACGACAGAGAAAAGAGAAAAGAGAAAATTAAAAAGTGGATTGGCATAAGGCGACGCTTGTCAACGAAGAATACCAGGCCTCGACGCCTCAAGAACCGATCTGACCGGAGCAGGCGTGCCCCTCGTATGAATACAATATTCTTCTCTGGTTCATATCTGCTAGATGACACGATAAGAGTTTCTAGTGAGTGCCAAACGACTTGCAATTGCCGGAGGTTCTCTGTTTGCGGTTTGTCGGCAAGACTAGAGGCCAGCGAACAAGCCAATTTACAAACGAGGTTGCCGAGTCCACGGGCCCGGGTGGTAAAATGCAAGATCTTAGTGTTCAAAGGGTGCGACGACTGGGTGGCTGCAGGTAGGCGAAGTCGACCAAGGATAGATCAAATATCATAACGGGGCAAGACCACGGATATGGGACACTCAGCTCGATCAAAACAGGGCATATTGCCCCTGATGATCAATGAGTAGGAGCTAGATGATTTCATTGCTGATCTCACCGTCGCACAAATCAAACGACTCGGGGATTCCACCTGGAAGGTTCGGATGAATGAATGGTAATCAAGTCATAAGAATCATTTCCCGTTTGTAAGGAATTTTTGGCCCGTGCTGGCCTGACGTCTGCCTAATAATAATAATAATAGAAATGACAATGACGGCAATGTAGGTGGAACAGTAGTATGATTGCGCGTCAGAGGCTGGCTGCCAAGGTCGTAGGTAAGAAAGGGGAATATAATAGCAGCGGAAGTACCTGGCTGGCACAGGCGTTCCGTAGCCGTCGATGGATTGATTACCTTCCCGAAAAAAAAAGGTCGGCGATGATACGCGGCGGTGGGTTTTTGTGCCACTGGGCAATACCAAGCTCAGGCGGTATTTTGATTCGTTTTGATTCATAAGCAAGGAAATAGCTGGAAATTATATAGAAAAAAAAGTAAAGTCAATGTCTTACCTCCATAGTGAGAGTATAGCTAGGAAGGGCCCCGAGGATCTATCCGTTACGCTGGGGTAATCAAATGCACACGGTTAGCCCTATCCTCCCCTCCCCCGCGACATGGACGACGCAGATGGAGAGACAGAGAGCGAAACGTTGTGTCCGGCTGGAGTCGTACTTTGGCCTGTGGGAATGAGGAATTCTGAGTCAGCTTTCTATGCGGCGACGAATTATTTCTCTGAACCAGTGCCAACGGGCTGGCGCGGGCTGACTCACCCTGAGCCGTT